AGTACATCAAATTTCTGAATTCCAACTTGACACAGATTAGAATCCAAAATCAGATGGCAAAATTTAAAACTCTTGAGGACCAATGTAGGCAGCAATATATCTAATTTTAACAAATAAATAATGAAACAAATGTGACTTTTGAATAAAATAATGTACAGGTAGTCATCTACTTACAACCATTTGTTTAATTCAAAGTTACAACAGCCTGAAAAAAGTGACTTATGACCTTTTTTCTCACTTTTGACCATTTCAGCATCCCCATGGTCACATGATCAAAACTTGGATGATTGGCAACTGGCATGTATTTAAGATGGTTGCAGTGCCTTGGGGTCATGCAATCACTTGTTGTGTCTTTCCGACAAGCAAAGCCAATGGGGAAGCGAGATTCACTTAACAATTGTGTCGCAACTTTAACAACTGCAGTGATTCACTTAATAACTGTGGCAAAAAAGGACATAAAGTGGGGCAAAACTCACTTAGCAACTGTCTTGCTTAGTAATGCAACTTTTGGGCTTGATTGTAATCATAACTCGACAACCTGTAAAAACTTTAAACAAAACCATCTATACAATCTGTTAAAACTTTGGAACAGAGTCTGAAAATCAAATGCTTCAGACAGATAGGTATGACATAAAATATTTCCTAATCACTTTATAGATTTTTCTGTTTGAAGCGATGGCAGTCACTTTCCAAGAAAATCCTGCGGTTATATCCATGTCAAATTCAATCTGAGGGTCTGTTTTTCCTTCAGGGGAACATGCATACCATTCCTCTTTTGCTACCTTCCCACAATGGTCCTAGTTTATCTCTATAACAACATGCTTCTCTATGTATACTGAACTGAAATTTAACTTCCATTACTATGATGGAGTGTAGTAAACAAAGATTCCCAAAGGGGGAGGGGTGCATTGCAGGAGTAAGTCAACTCAGCCCAGATACCATGTGTGTGCGATAGAGGGTGAAGCCCCTCCCTAGTAGTTCACAGAATATATTGTAGATGCAGATAGTAGAATGCCCAGTCTGGCAAGATTTTTGTCTATAGGTGTGGAACAATAAAGAATTCTGTTTGGAAGAATCATGTCATTCTTGGTTTTCAGCCTGACAATCACCCTCACACAGCATAATGCTCATAATATCAGGGAATTAAAAATGTTTTAGTCCATCAACTGGACAGTACAAGCTTGTAGAGAGAGAGATATATAACATTTATTGTGCACCATGGATAACAACATTCTGTATTTGTGAACATGTGTCTTTTTTCTCAGGTATTGTCTCAGGTACGGGTAGGAAAGATAAAACTATAACCCTGACTTTAAATCCAGGTAAAAGAGATATGAAAATAGAATCAAGATTCAATCCATTTCTAGCCTACCACTTCTGCTATATCTACAAAGCAATAGTTATGTTCCATTTCAGCTCCCGAGAATATTTTCTGAATATTTTCACACACTTGATGCTGGTCATTCAATGACAATTTTGCCTTTCAAAATAATTGTTTCATGCTACTTCTGACATTCTCTTGCTTCACTTTGCAAACTACAATAAAAATGTGAGCAGGGCAAGTGGGCTTCAATCCCCCAAAGGAAGGAAAGTAGCTATACACCCCAGATATCATACAACTAACCTCAACAAGTTTTCTCCAGCCTCATTACACATTGCTTGGGGGAGGGGGGAGAATCAGTTTGATTCACTACTTTCAGAGCATTTCTGAAAATATCTATTTAAAACAATAAGAGTTTATATAATGGTCAATATCAAAATGAATCCAGATTTTTTTTTACTCTAAACCACCTGCACATCATGCATATTCAGAAGCAACATTCAGTGCTTGTGATATTTTGGAAAAGGGAAAAGCTGCTAAGAAAAGAGTGCCATGTGTTTCCATGAATGGATTTGCATCCACTTCCTTCCTTCCCAATGCATCCAGGCACTTATCCAGTATGTTTAGGCTGCAATTCACTATACATGTATTCAGTATGCTCAGATCTCAGCAGAAAAGAAAAATCTTTGGACCATTGTATTTACTCCTATACTTAGCAGCATTGCACCCAGGTAAACCAGGGAGTGACCCGAACAATCTGAGAACATGTATGTTAT